AAATTGGTACCGAGAACCGTGGATTTTCACTGGTATTGGTACCGAATACTGAAATGTTGGTACCGTGACAACACTAGAATACATTATACAACTGTTATTTTAAATTGTAATAATATTTTACAATATTACTGTTTTTACTATATTTTTGCAGCCTTGGTGTGCATAAGAGACTTCTCTTTATAGACCATAATTTGTAGAAAAATTATGGATGTTTTATAGAGATTAACATTGAGGAAATTGCCAAAATGACAGCACTGTCCTTGAGTAGATGTGTTTGTGGGAGCCAGGCGTGGGCCCAGTAGAGAGCTGGTTGGAGGTGTGATTCCTGTTATGTTTCTGAGAGCTGGATGCTGGCAGGATCTGCAGCTCATGGAGTGCTGACCACAGGGCTTTTCTCTGGCCGGCCAGGCCTCTCCTGGCACCATTGACGGCCATCAGCAGGTGCACAGCATGACCTCTCATGGACAGGGAAATACTCATGCTTACGCCTTGCTCCCTCTCTCCTTCTTTCACACCCCTTTAATTAACTCAACCCGGCCAACCTTACACCCCTACGGACGACACAAGCTTGGCAGCGTGGCTTGTTCCAAAAATAAGACTCAGTCATCGGTTCAGAGTGCTCCAAACAGACATCAGGGCGTAACGTGGAGGAGACGGAATACGGAATACGAACTGGGCCAACTGGAACTAGAAGGAATTTCTAAATATTGGCTTCTCATACTCTGTAATTAGGTCTATATGTCAACCATGTATATGTTGGTGGACATGGCAATAGCAATACTAAGTTTAAGATGTTTAATAAGATGTTTATCACTAACATCTTATTATCGCTAAAATATTCATTTAACACAGGCGCTTGTTAATATCAACCAATGGCATGATAATACGCAAAAAAAAATCATGTTTCAGTTAAATAACAAGCTAGCAGATAACAGCCATTTGGGATTATGGCAAATCTACCCTTTGGGTTTGGCACCAAAACACAGTGACACTGGCAGCTGAATTTTCCATGGAAGACTAGAAGTCTCCTAGAGCTGATTCTGTGGTCAGTGTGGAGTGAGTCCTGGAGGATCCATCTGGTGCTCAGTTAGTCTGTCAGAACCAGTGTACTGTTAATGGAAATTAATGTGTTTTCTTGACAAAAAAAAAAAGTGTTGGTAGTCAATTTATCTAGAGCCATCTTTACCAAGAATGTCTATGTAATACCCCAAAAAAATCTATTAGCATTCCCATTCATCTCATTTGCGCTTGCTTAACCGGCATAGGAAACCCAAGACAAATATGGACAAATTTGAATATATTGTTTAATTATCTCCACAATTCTAATTTATGTTGAAATTCTAAAATTGAAACTTCAGTTAAGGGAAAAGATTTAGTCATGTCATAGTCATTTTATCCAGTTATTCTGACTACAATTTTATCAACTTGTAGTCAAATTGTCACGTTAGATTTTTGTAACAAAAATAATATTTTAGCTGACAAGAAAGTGCAAAATTAAACCACATATTCCAAAAATTATGTATTAATTTAAAGATATGCATGAACATAAAAACATGTGAAAATTTTGTTTACACTATTGAGTGTTCACAGCAAGTACACTGATACTGATATGGCATGAAAATTTACCAAAAGTAAAGTGCACAGCCATGCAGTGACCCTCATCCCTCTCAGGCAGAATTTAAATGGCAATGCTCAGCACTTTTCATCCTTTCATTCTCCCTCTCTTTCTCAATTTGCTGTGACTGAGAGGATTGTTAGAGAACTATTGGCAGATGCAGATGCAGCTCAGAGGGGAGATGCTGATCTCCTTTCTCTCTCTATCTGAAGCTTCATATGGTGGTGTATATAAACAGAAGCAGCGTATCAACCCTCAGCTGAGCCACTCCAGGAGTGAAGCATGGCTACACTCTAAAAAATGTTGGGTTGAAACAACCTAGCATTTTTTAGAGTGTACAGAGCCAAGAATCAACAGTAGACAGCCTGCTTGACTACTAGAGCCCCATCTGTCAAAGTCATAGTGTGTGTAAGGGGAGTGAAACTCTAATGAGGAAGAATGCTTTTAAATATTTCTAATAATGTCAGGGCTGCATTAGAAAAGAAATTGAGGGAGCAAACCAACCAACAGTGGCCTAAAAACATTTATAAGAAATGACAGTACTTAAATAAAAATCTCTGATGAACAACCCTTTTGAGGAAAAAGATGTGCCATGGCTATCTGGTGAATTCAGCCTCTAATACTTATTACCGTGTGAATCAGAGTGTATTTGTGCCCTTCCTCACCTGCTCTGGCAAAGGAAATGAGCTGAGAATATTTCCTGTCAGAGGGGGTTTTGCAGCATCTTCAGTGGCGCATTGCCAAATTCCCCACCCACCCAGGCCGTCTGTATCTGCATTAGAGCTTCAGCAAGATGCACAGAACTTGATTTGGTGTGATTACGAATACATTTGGAGGATTTATTTTTACTGGAAATTCTGAGGCTTATGCTGTAGAAGCCCTGTCTGCTATTTCCACAAGAACAAAAACCCCTTACAAAATGTTATGTGTTTACTCAGAAAACTTAAGGCCATGGTTCTGAATAATTGCCATATTCATTTACCAATGTATTAAATAATACCATGGAAATACCATGGTACATGTCCAAGAAGCATGGTAATTAGACAATATTATATGAGCAAGAGTGATTTTGCTCTAAATAGCAGCATTATTATTAACAACAGCACAATTGTACTATATTGTGTGATATTGCTTATGTAGAACAGTTCATTGAACAAGTTAATATTCAGTAACTTACAGTACATTTAGACACAATATTACACATTATTTTGTGTATTGTTGCTCCACCAAATAAAATATTTGCAAACAACCAAAACTGATTAATTACTTCCTCAACATATCAGTGTGTTTAACTGTTTAACAAGTGAATGATTCAATGACTCGCTCATAAAGACAGCTGCAGCATACTATCATACTAATATTTCTTTCATAAAAAGGTAGCCTATGGTAAAGGTAGTAATATCTAATATGCAGTATGCTAGTATTTGTTCTTGAACGAATCAAGTTTTTTGAATTAATTGTTTGAATTCATGACTCACTCATAAAATCAGTGATTCAATTCAGAATCACATACTGTTTCTACCATATCTTTAATTGCAGAAATAGTAAAAATAGTATACGTACTAAAATGTTATTCCAAATTCAGACAGTCACTTATGTCATTCTGAATGAATCAGTGTTTTGAACAAATCAGTTGAATGAATGAGTCAATCATCACTCATAATAAAGACCACCTACTGCCATACCAATATAACCTGCAGAAAGAGTCACTGAAAAATCTCCAACACTAATGCACAGATTGACTGAAATGGGCAAACACAGACAAGAAAACTGATCCAAACAGCCAAAAAAAAGTCCCAGTGCTGTTGGAACACTGCTAAACAAATTCAATTTAAAGACCAAAAATAACTGCTGTAAAATGAAGTTGTTCACTCCCAGTTGAAAATGCATCATGATTAAAGGTCTGGACTTGAAACTCAAAGGTTAAAGGTTTAAATTCTCAAACGGGTGATGACCAATGAACCAAGGTGATAAGAACAAGAACAAGTCTTTCTAAAGTAAGCGTCAGCTGCTTTAGATAATAAATGATCTGCTGAATACTAATTAGCAATTAAGACAACATTGAATGTCACATGAACAGTATGGTGAATGGCACCATGTGGACAACAGAAATATATCCTTCCACACCAACAGAGTTCATCTTGTTTCTCTGTTCAGAGACAGCAGAATGAAACTACAGTCTCTATTGGCTTTTGTGCTGTGCTGAATGCTGTTGTTGTTGTAAGTAGTGCTCGAGCACAGTCTATGACAGCAGACCAGAGCTCACCTCCACCCGGTACATCACCCAGCTGCATAAGCCATGCGAGTGCATGCAGAATCAACAATTGTTCACAATGCATTAATTAATTCAGATCATTAAACCATGTTTGTGCAGCCCAACAGCATATTTAAATGACAGAACATGTCTAGAAGACACTGACGGAGGTGCATAAGCAACACAAATGATAAACATCATCCTATTCTCTGGCATTGCTTACTGTTGCTTTCTCAGTTTTTTTGGGTCAGCACGCGCCTCATAAATGACCTAGATAGCAAATTTGATTAGGGCCTTCTGAATTCGGGGACAGTTGCATCTCAATGGCGCAATTACACGCCACTGAGATTTCCTGTAAACTAGCTTTTATTATCATGCCACACAGCATGACGTCTGTACTCTCCTGATAATTTCACTGAAACACTGTTAAAACCTTGAAAATGACGACTGACTGTTTATACTCAAAGCAGCTCAATGTTTTTTTAGTTTGTTTCCCAGCATTCTCTGCCTTTACATATGAGTCATAATTCACCATTCACCAAATGTTATAAACTCCTACCCACAATTGTATCGTGATTCAACCGATTTGAGTCGTCACATATTTGTATCGATTTTCAACCGGCTCGGGGTGCATCGATACATCCCTAATGATCAAATGACAACATTTTAATTTTTGGGTGAACTATTCTATTAAAACATTTAATTATAAACAAGATGACAAATTGATACTTATGGAAAAGTCCCACATCCAATTCTTGTAACAATGACCCACAATCAGGCTAGGCTCAGAGCCACGTTCCCTTCTGCAGGCTTCTGTGTGCCTCTAGACAACCCAACAGACAGAAATCCTCCATCTGCCACGGGGTGCCAAGCTTTGCCCACAGGCGCTGTCCTGCTTGGCAGGGATGTAGGTGAGCCAGCAGCACTGACACACAACTACAAATCTTTCAATGCTGATGCTTTCGACCACTAGTTATCAGCGGATGATAAAACAAGTGACAGGAGAATTGGACCAGATTCCTTGAAACTTCAGGTTTTTACTCTGTTAAAATAAGTTTATGTTTATCGACTGTTAATGAGGGAGTCCTCGCTAATGCAGCAGGTCTAATCAACAGGACCAAATCAAGCCGATTCAAATTTAAATGCAAAGTACTGTGCATCCCCCACCTCCCTCTCTCTGTCCTTCTTTCCTCCTTCTCTGCAGGTCTTCAGAGTCAGGGGTGTTCCTGAATGATCCGTCTAATCTCAAACCGCACCGGCTTTCATGTGTCTCAACTCTTTCTGGCCTGATAATGGATCTAACTTGACTTAAAAAGTGCCAGACTTACTACATTTCAGCAGGCCCAGTGTGGGGTCAAAGTATCTACTGTTAACTTCTGCATGTCCTCAAGTATAAAAAGCTGAAAGCTGGAGATGGGATGTACAGCCCTTTCAAAGCTCTTCACTTGAGTAAGACAGAATTATCCAGATGCCTTCAGGGTTCAGAGCTCTAATCAGTCTTTTATATAAGATGAGACAGGATAAGAACCTTAAAATAGTTCCCAAAATCAAAATGCAGTATGAAACTTTAACAGAGAGAAAAGCTTACTCTACAAAACAAAAAACAATGCATTTTGCATGCATGCATGCACTGGCGAGCCATGTAGCACTGGATGATATCTCTCGAGCACAGAGGAAATGCAGCAATATCAGTCTTCAGTCCTAAAAAATAAACTGTTTGCAAGACTCAGACGTCATCAGACACTACTCAGAAAACCAGATTATAAGATAGTTTAATTTTGTCTCTACTTCTCTTAAATGCATTTTATCCCTTGCAGTGCAATCAACGCTGATAACCAAATATTGATATTTGAATTTCTAACAGGCTTTAAAAGTTGTTAGCTTTTATTCTGAGGTAAGTGCAATGCTAGAAGTGTTAAAAGCCAATAATTTTGGAAATGATGGAAACTATGATGAAAGACATCATTAGCATTCATCAGTACAGTCAAAACGTATAATATGACTAGTCATAGTACAGATTCAAAATTTCAATTGAAGTCTTTACACTGATGACCCTAACAAAATATGTTTGATTCATAATGACTAAATGTTTGCATTGAAATCTTAACACAGCAACAGGACGGTCTTTAACAGGAAAGTGGACTACTTCAATGTGTTAAAAAATAAATAAGTAAATAAATAAACAATCTGAGAACCTATCTTGGAGAAACCACCATGTCAAAACAATTACTGTACTTATATGTTCATACAATCATGCAACTTTATACCCTGTATCTTAAGTTACCTCATTTTTACCAATCTATAACTTTTTTTTTTTTTTTGCAATTTCTCTGAAATTTGAAGTACTGTAAGTACACACTGTTCTCTTTTCCTAATAAACTCAAAATGAGGCGAGTATTCACTAGTTAATAGTGTGCAATAAACACATACACTGATAACTGTAAGTTACAGTTGTAACTAGTTGTAACTAAACAGAACAGAAACACTTGGTCATTAAATTAATGTTTTAAGTTTATTAAGTTTAAATTAAGTTTATCAGTTTAATTCATAATGTGTTTATTAATCAGTCTATTAATTCAATGTTTGCAATTTTTTGATTTTTTTTTTTTTTAATTAGCCACTCAACTCAAGAACCTTTTGGAATTTTTCATGGACCACAATTTGACAAGAATCTGCATTATAAGAATCAGATGGTTGAATGGTTTGTTAATTTGTTTTAAAAGCACTTTTAATCTTTGGGTTCTTTAAAGGATAGACTAAACAAGAACAAGTCAAGACACACACTCAAAGGACAATCTGCATCTGCATCACAAGACTCTTATCATGAGGAGGGGAATACCATGCCGTGCATTTACAAAACAAGCTGCAAGAGATCACACAGTGAAGTTAAATAGTGGAGTACAGTGTATATGAGCCCCAGGATCTGTGTTGCACAATAACTCAGCTTTGCAAACTCTTTTGACTTTGTGGGAATATGAAAAACTAGCCTGCAGCCATTCTCCACAAATCTCCAACCACATGGCACTAGCTCAGGATGTGACACTGTGCACCAAGTGTTTCTAGAAATAACTTGCCACACTTCCAAACAGGCGACTGGCCACTTCTAGAGATATTTCTTCTGATCCACTTCATCAAGAATGACAGGGACATTATTCATTCACACAATTTGCAAAACAAATGATACGTCGTTTATGGCATGAAATTTGACAGCCTAAATTGAGATGCTATTAGAATCTTAGTGACATCTAAATGGATACTGTATAAAGCCAAGTCTTTCTAAAATGTATTCCTTAAAACTAACCAGTAAAAAAGTAATCCAATTTTTTTATTTTCATTTTATTTTGGTACTTATCCATTACATACTAGTAGAACTTATTATTAGTGATTAGTATCTGTTCAGTCACTACGAGTACTTATTTATTACATACTAGTAGGCCTATTTCTTATTTCTACTATTCTCTTTCTCATCAATGACAAGCAGGTTAATTGTTTTATTGTTACTATTTACAATTTAAACATATTCAGTCCCAGAATGGAGATTTATAGTTCATATAATATCTGTTCACTTCGAATTGTTGTTGCTGGTACCTATTCCAGGTTTACTAACTATTCTATAGATTCAACTGGAACAGACTGTACTGTAGTGTTTCATAAATGGGTACTAGAATCTAAAACATAAATACAAACAAAGCTGGGACAGATACAAATTTTAGTGCCTAATGAATAGTTACTAGTAAAGTTAGAATAGGTACCAGTAACAACTGGAAAAAGTACTGATCGTAAGTGAATAGTGAACCAAAGATAGAACTCAAAAGCAAAAATGTGCAATTTGTTACTAGAATATTTGCATTCTACAAATGGGATAGTGACAAATAGCAAAGAAATAAGTACCTGTATGTAGTGAATAAGTACTACTGACAAACTGAATTGATTAATAGAGTCATCTAAATGTATAGTTGCTAGTTAAACTAAAAACATACAAGTCATCAGTGGATTATTTACTAATAGTTTAAAATGAGCATTAGTAACAAATTTAAATACTAGTTAGTTGGCATGCCATATAACTGTACATACAGTTACTGAATGCAAGACATGAAGCAATAGATAAAATATATAGCATCATATTTTAAAACACATATAATTAACAAACAAATTAATCTATCCAACTTTTAAATTCCATTTAAGAGACACAAAATCTCCACTATTATTCTGTCACAGCAACTTCCTTCCAGAAAGCACCGTGTCTAAGTCTTTGTTCTAGACAGTGGAAATATATGCACTGATGGGGAAGAGCACTACACATGCTGTGCGCTGCCAGCCCAAACTGAAACTGACCTTGTTGCATATGATCAAGCTTTTGCTCCACAATGCTGAGACACTGAAACAGAGATGCTCCGCTGGGGAAAGCCTCACTGTCAGTGACACATACGATGAGCTGCCCCAGTGCTGGACGCCTATTATGTTGCATTACAGGTAAAATGTTTCAACAGCATACGCAATGACCTCATACTGTGCATAGAAACGTATATAAGTATGTTACCTGGTTGTGGTTTCAGTAAAAACAATGTGGCTCATTTTCATCACCGGTATTGTTCCGACCGTGCCGCGTTCAATGTGTTACGGAGAGTTAAGCTAACAGTTGACAGTGTTCAAAAAGCCCCACCCACCTGTGCTCCTATTGGTTCAAGATTCCCTTCACTCAAGTGTCACCGGAGCAAAAGTGTGTAGGCATAGCAACTGCGTTTCCAATGCCGCTTTTCCTAGCCAATAGAATAATGGTTAAATTTCAAGAGGCTACGCCCACCTTACCAAGTACAAGTCGTTGGATAAAGTGTTTGTCAATCAAAGTAAGCCTTTTTAAAAGGCGGGAACCCTTGAGTTCGATTATTGTAATGTATGCAAAAAATATTTTCTTTACCGAAATTCATAAAGACAAACCGCTATCCAAATGGCCACAAAAATGAAGTAATCAGAAAAACACAGAAAAAAAATACAAATAAAAAAAATCCAATACCATAAGAGCAAAAAAAGATCTTGTGTTGATCATTTATAAAAGCAGCACAGAATTCCACCACAAAATTATATCAGGTTCATTCAATAAATGAAATTACACAATCACATTTATGTGCTAAAAATTTTAAAGCAGTTTCAGCAAATTGTCAATTAATTGGTATTATTGACCATATTACTGAAGGCTCATACTGTTACCCATGAGCAATGTGTGATATGTTACAAATTTGACAAAATATGTTACGTTACAAAATATGACAAATTTAAAAATAATAAATCAATTATTAATAATTAATACATTGACCTGAGTATGCTGATTTAGGTCATTTTATATAAATACGGCTTCTGCATGACGGCAAAACAAGACGTATTTATATTAAAAAAAAAGAATTAATACCACAGATGCATCACATGGCAATTTCTCTGCTTTTTTATTAAAACCAATTAGCCACACAGTAGAGTTTGCTCAAGGTCAAGGATGCACAAGTTGTTACATATTTAATAAAAACACTACATATCAAATGTTATTCTACAGCAGTGTGATTGTTGGAAGCAGAAGGGGAAGATCCGCGCTGCCCCGAGGGATGTGGGAGTGGGTCAGAGGGAGGAAGGGCAAGAGTCAGTTCCGGAGAGGGTGTATTATGGTCTGGGTGGCTCTTGCTATGGTGAGCCGTGACATTGTCTCTCTTTTCAAAGCGGCGACCGCAAATCTCACAAGGGAACTGGTAGGTGCTCTCAGCATTGTGCTTTCGCATGTGCCAATTCAGAGAGGCTTTCTGTCGACAGGTAAAGCCACACACCTCACACCTGAGAAAGAGAGACGGGGCGGGTTAGATCTGGAGCTGAAAACTGTAGTAGCAAAGCCTTGAGCAATATAGTTGTTGTGTTAATTATTGATGGAATGTTGCTGTAAAAATTTGTTATTGAGTTATGCAAGCTTTGGTATAAACAAAGGGCCTAATGCACGTGTGTGGTGAAACTCATACTGCAGCGGTTTCTCTCCGGTGTGTATCCTGCGGTGGATGATCAGGTTACTGCTGGTTCGAAACGCTCGGGCACAGAACTCACAGATATAGTCTCTCTGATCTCACAGACACAAAGAATCATACAGAGAGAACCATATTACTAACCAGAGCATGAGAAACACTAATCCCTACTATTTACTCTACTTGTCCAGTGGTTTTGCTTCCAGATACAGATTTTATATCGGACAACAAAATTAACAATATTCCAACAATTACAATAACAATATTAATAGCATTAATGTTATATTAAATAAAATATCATTACATTATTATATTTTATTTGACCTTCTATAATTGTTAATAGTTTTCAAGGACATTTTTGGAACAATTATATTAAGTGTCTGTAACCACGATGTACTAACATTTAAAATAATCATTTGATACTATGTAATTACATCTGTAATTATTTTCTGTTATTACATCTAAGTGTACTGTTGACCCTACAACTACTTAGCCAACCCTTAAACCTAACCATACCACCAAACCTGTCACTAATCTTACTCATATTTCATCTCAATAGCAGTAAAAATGTTGAAAAACACATAAAAAAATAAATGAAAAAACCTTAAACCTAACCATACCACCAAACCTGTTACTAATCTTACTCATATTTCATCTCAATAGCAGTAAAAATGTTGAAAAACACATAAAAAAATAAATGAAAAAAAGAAAAAAAACTATTTTTTTTCATCAAAGTGCATACAGTAGTAGTTAAAGACACCTAATAAAAAGTGGGACCCTTTTTTCACCTTGTCCATTTTGGCATATCTTTAATCAGTTTAATCTTCTACCAAATTAAATGAAATATAGATGATTTTGTGTCAAAATACAGTAGAGTTTGATTAGATACCTGGCCTTTGGCATCAACAACAAAATATATTGGAAGTGTTTTCTTCTCCCTTTTAAAAGCTAATAAACCTATTTTTTCTTTTATTATTGCATTTAGCATTGTTGTTTACATGCAAAACAGACCTGCATCCCACAAACTGACAACCACTGGATTAGAAGAATATAATTACCATATAAATTTTTTTTTTACCTGAATACATTAATGTTGAGATTGAGATACATATGTATACATACTCATACATGTAGTGCCTGTCCAAAAAGTACACTGGATGACATTTATCACATACATCATTCATATTGACTAAAAACTCACTACTATGCAACTTTTCATGCTCCTTCAGATGCTTCTTAAAATTGAATGACTTGCTGCAGGTGGGGTGCGAGCAGATGAAGGTTTTCTGCTGGAGATGTTGGTACTTGACGTGATGCTGTGGAGAAGAACAGATTGTGAGATGCTTTGCCATCTTATGAGGTGTTCATGCTTTTCCGTGAAGCCTTGCAATCAACGTATTTCTAATTGAAATAAAGTTGATTTTCTCATCGATCAGTGCAGATTAATGGAAAAGTTCTTCTCTCTCAGAGTTGTTTTAGTCCAGGCAAGACTAATGAATGTGTCATTTCAATACTGACTCAGAACTCACATTTAGATATTGCCGACTGAAGAAAATCTTATCGCAGCCTTCAAACTCGCAAGGCAAAATTAGTTTGGATGTTGATTTTCTGTAAACACAGAGATTAGTATCATGTAATTATGACGTTAAACAGGACATTCAAAATAAAACTATTAAAATATAACCAAATATATAATTAAATGACTGTTCTAATATATAAAACATACATAACTACACATAAAAACTATATAAATATAAAACACTATATAAATATTTTTTTAAACATATAGGTCAGTTAACTAACAAGTAATATATTTATCTTGGTAAAATTAAATAACAAACCGTTTTCTCTTGCCACCAATCTGGGACACGTCATCTTTCAATAACTGTGGACTGGAAAGAAAAAAGCCAATAATTTTGGGATTCCATTTAACTTATTGGGAATCTTAAAATATAAAAATATGTGCTGTTAAGACAAATCACCTGGTATTTTTAAGAGTTCCTGCTTTTTTGTTTGCATTGTGTGTCTCAGGAGGATCTGCTCTACTCGGGGTCCCTCTGTTGGTTAAATTCAGCACTGCAACTTCCTCATGGCTAAGAGACAGTGTTAGTTTAACTTGTGACTTTTTCAGCCATTAAGTGTTTCAGTATAGATGAATAGAGCACAAACCTATCAGGGGGGCTTTGGTTTTCAATGCAAACCCATGCAGGACTGTCTCCAGTCAGCTCATCACTGTCTGCTGAAGATCTGACAATCAGAAAAAGATTGAAGAGACATGAGAATTAAACAAAATATTATAAATACAGCTAAACAACCAAACATGCAAATATATATACCCATGCTCTGAATGCAAAAGATCAGCTGCCACATAATTTCCTTGCTGTGTCTCAGGTGTCACTGTATCACCTTAACACACAGTTGTAGTTAGTCCTTGAATAAAAAAACAGCATATTTCTTTCAGATAAATCATTAAAAACAAAGTCACCTGCATTGTTGTTTTCCCCAAACGTTTCAGACCTTGTCTCATGTTTCTGTTCTGTGTCATTTGTGGTAACTTCAGCATTTTCTTGTTGTTGTTGTCTGGTTTTTAATCTAGTCCCCACTTGTCTTTCTATCTCTGTGTCTGGTTCCTTCAACCTCCTCCTGCCTCGTTGTTTGAGTCTCTTTGGGCTAAATGCAGTTCTATCACCTTGATTTTTAGATGTCATTACTTTCTCTACCTTAATAGGAGACCACAGAAAAAGATGCCCGTTTTCACAGGTGTATTTCAGACACACGTCCACCTCAGATGAGTCTTTGGACTCAGTTTCAGCTTCTCTTGTCTCTGCAGCATGAGTGCTCTGATCTCGCTCTGTTGTTTTTGTGACTGTCCCAGAATGCAAGACAGGGGGAAGAGGGCATGTCTGTCCATGGTTGTGGACCAACAGGATGAGTTCCTGCAAAGATTCCTTGGTAGTTGACAAAGTGCTTGTCTGTCCTTTCCCATTAACTGCAAAAAATATTTAAGGCTCATTCACACCAAGGACAATAACAGTAATGATAACAATAAAGTTTTAATAATGGTTCTAATTCTGTGAGAATAGGGAAGTCTACACTACAGTCATAACGATAATGACACAGAGGAACGATATCATTGGAATCACTTTCAGAACGATATTTTCCAGCTGATCAGAATCCACCCGACTTTAAAGAGCCTGAGCATTTAAAGCAGCAGACAACAGAACTGCATTGTGCAATGGTAAGAACGCTAATGCATATATTGTTATAGTTATCTTTAGAGTTATCATTCATGGTGTCAATGGGTCTTTATTCAGTATTTTTGTCTTGTTTTCCAGTACAAATATCTTGAATGAATAAATAACCAATCTTAAATCAAGATATATTTACAGTACTTGAGAACCATAATTACTTAAGATACTAAGTCTTGTTTTCTGAAAAATGTTAAGCAGGTTTATGCTTGAAACAACAACAATAACAACTATATATATATATATATTCATATTTTTTGCATTTTTTGGATGTTTTACAATACAAAATATGTTGTATTTAGTTATGAAGAAATCATGGAGGTTAAGATACTTTATACAAAAATTATAAAGTATTATAGAGTAAATTATGTCTGAATTGTCATTTTGTTGGTAAACTATGCCTTTAAGGAGGGAATCTGTGGCTTACCTGAGCACTTGATACAAACCCTTGAAACATAGCTGCAAAACATAAAGCAAATGTCATTGTCAGTTAGACCACATTTTATCTGCAACGCTTCACACACCACCAAAAAACCTGTCTGTCAGCCAAATCTAAATATGTTTAGAACTCCATAAACCACAAGTTCATCTTTGCTTTTCTGCCTGTACTTTCTTTTAAGCTCACTCATAATTCCTGTCTTTTCCCTGTATGATTTGGAACTGGATCAGAACTGGAAAAAAATTTGAGTCTCATCTTCGAAGCCAGAATCAATAACTGCAGATGTAATTCAACAGGAATTCTAGAGTGCACGTCCAACGAACTGTCATCTACACTCTTAAAAATAAAGGTGCTTCAAACGGTTCTTCAAGCGATGCCATAGAAGAACCATTTTTGGTTCCACAAAGAACCATTCAGTCAAAGGTTCTTTAAAGAACCATCTCTTTCTTACCTTTTTATAATCTGAAGAACCTTCTTTCGCCACAAAGAACCTTTTGTGAAACAGAAAGGTTCTTCAGATGTTAAAGGTTCTTTATGGAACCATTTAGACAAAAAGGTTCTTCTATGGCATCATGAAGCACCTTTATTTTTAAGAGTGTAGTGGGTCTAAGGGTAACTGTATCTCTCTGCAGAACAGTATTACTGTATTATACCTATCCAGCAGATGCTGAGCGAGCTCTGAATGAAGAGAGAAGCCCAGTTTCTCTTTGAGCTGACCCCAGCTCTGCAGACACGAGCCCAGCCGCACGTGAGACTTACTTCTGCGGGCATCCAGCTCCCTGCGCCGCTGACTGTGCAAAGTGTCTTTAGAGGATGACATCACACTGACAGGTGCCACTCAAACGACACTGAAGATGGAGATAGAAACAAGACTGACAATCAGGTGAAGATGATGAGAGGTTTGAATGTTCGTTGCTGTAGCACAAATGCGGATTTAAACCATCAGACAAATGAATAAACTGTTGAATAAATGGCAATCATTGGTTTCTAAAATATCATATTTGCAATAATAGCAATCGTAAAGGCATTGTAATGGTTCTAATTACAAGTACAGCTCAACTGCATAAACAAGGAACTCACATATTAATTTATTAATATGAATTCATTATGACTACTGTAAAATCTTTTAATTTGGGGTAAATTTGCAGCCCTGTTAATAATTTAGACAGTCTTCTATTATTATTTTTTTTTTAAGAAAATGAATAGAATATAAAACAGCTAATATAAAATGTAGTCGATAGTGACACTAAAGCACCTCCTAACACTCAGTTGTTTTGTTGAAAAAAAAAAAATTGTTTTAAAGCTTCAGGCTACATTTTGTACTCTGTTCATGGAAAGTGCCACCGGCAGTTGCCCTCAGGCCTTATTTGAAGTATATGCATTATGTCTTAAGCTGACAACTCATAAGTACAGACAGGAATCCACTGACATACCTAAATCAGACCGTGAGCGACAGTGTTTGCGGGGCCCACTAGCTCAAACTGTTGCCCTTTTAAGGAGGACCCGCTCAGTCGATCAACTCGGTCTAACGCTAGACTCGGTATAAAAAGCATTAAATATATCTCGTGATGAAAACGACGCTACACAGAAAATTATTAATATCGGCTGAATTCATCTTCCCAGTATGATTATGTGAAGTACGTCTTAATTTCCAGAGTATTATGTCAAGCGATCTGTAGAAAGAGAAAACAAATCGGAAGTTTCCTGTCCCAGAAGCCCTCGCGGCACAGCTAGTATCTATGGGAAATGTAGTCCTAAAACAAACATCTGTGCGATATTGTAATTTCATATAATCAGCCAGTGTTTTAAGCGTTAAAAGAGTTGATCTAAGTCATTTCTAGAAAGTATAACTAAGCAAACTAAACAATAGAATGTATTAATATGCATATTATTGTTTACATTTCTTAAGCAAACTATCTTAATATAGGCCTATGTGTGCCATGATTTACCGTAATGTTTTAATCAAAATGGTAATAACATTTTCAATAATGTGCTGAAACATAGACGAATTACACTTGGTTTTGTAATACCACTACAATTATTCATAGCAATAAAATTAAAGTATTTGAATAAATGGGTACACAAGCTCCTCTAATTTCTATAATAGGGCACACACAGCCACTCAAAATATTCAAAGTGCCTGTTAGCAAACGGTAGCAAAATGCAACAGGGTGAAAGACATGAAATAAGGAGTAAAACAACGAGAACACAAAAAGGAAGCAACATCAGTTTCACATGTGAGATTGGGCTCAACCCACAGCTGCATGTATCAGATCACCCTACCACACATGCTCACTAGGAACACACAACGCACACTGCTTACCTCTCATCTCACACCCCAGACCGTCATGGATGAACTTGGTGAGTTGTTCAACCTTTTATATGTCATTCTAACACTAAAGTCTTAAACAGTGTAGAATCTCTAAAGATGTAACAGATTTGTAGTCCAAAGACTGTGATGATTTTCTATTCTAAGTTTAATTTCTATTATTTATATTACAATTCTCTGGTAGTCTCATTTAGACTGTAACCTATAAATGCAAGCAGGTATTTGTGGTATGATAATTTTTCTGGGACATTTTCATTGGTTTCCTCAAATTACACTAAAACACTCATCGACATGTCACACATTTCAACGTGACCAGTGGATTATCAGTGACAAGCTGTGACATTTTAGAAAATAGACAAAACACATTAATGAATCAACACATTACATTTTAGAGCATGAAGCATTTTTAAAACAACCAAACAACAGCACCCAGGCCATTCTAAGTGAAATGTCATCCAAAAAAAAAAAAAATAATAATTATAATAATAAGATGATGATGAAGAAAGAAAGAAAGAAATATGTATATATAAATATGTGCATATTCTTTACTGGTAGCATTTTGGTATACTAAGAGTTTATTTTTCTTCCCTGTGAGAAGTAATGACTCCTGTCACTCTTAAGAATAAATTGACATCCTTGTGAAGGATTTTTTTAAACTCCTAATTTATTTGGTATTTTGACAGAATTTAGTCAGATCACTCATTTCTATATTAAGTGACTTTTCTATGTCAGCAAAAAAGTGTGGCAAAAGTTTGAAATTCATGTGTTTGTTATTTCATGTTCTGCACCCGTTATGATGAGAGCAACATGCCTTTTCACTTCCTCAGGAAATGACACGGATTGCTAACGTACAGTGGCTTTACCTTTAGTTCAATCATAACCATGATTGCAGATTTTTGTTTTGTTTTGTCAGTGTATGTGTCAAAGTTTGTGTGCTCAGTGTCACTGATTTCAGTGCAGTGTTTCACATGTGTGAATATAATATTGCAGACATGCTTTTAGAGGAGTTGGCTCAGAGCTCTACCCAGACTTCAAATGTTCCTGCACCCATTCCACCCAAAACTCTCCAACTGGGAGCCTCGGTTAAAAGTAACAACACAACTCAGCTTGAACAAGTAATTACATTTCAGGCCAATTCATTTTCATTTTCAAATTGAATTTAAACAAGAATTTGAAAATCATTCAAGTTTCAAAAACTGTTTAGGGTTGGTAATATTTGTCTCTTATGCTTATATTATTAAAATTTTACATAACTGTTTTCTATTTGAATATATTTTGAAGTGTAAGTTATTCTTGTGATAACAAAGCTGAATTTTCAGCATCATTACTCCAGTCTTCAGTGTCACATGATCCTTCAGAAATCATTTTAATATGCTGATTTGGTGCTCACTAGTTGTTCCATTGTTGTGGAAACCGTTATACATTTTTCAGTATTCTTTGAAGAATAGAAAGTTCAAAAGAACAGTATTCATATGATATAAATCAAATATTTTTTTACATTATTTTTGCTGTCATTTTGGACAAATTCATCCTTGCGGAATAAAAGTATGAATTTCTTTAAAACATTAAAAACCTTACTGACCCCAAACTTTGAACTATTAAATGTCTACAATATTTAGGCCCAAACTGAGCCATTCTAATGTCTTTTTCCTCCCGTTACAGACTGAATCTTCTGGATTTGTTGCTGGTCCAGGAAAGACATATAATCCCTACAGGTATATCCACCTCTTTCCAACATTTGTAGCAGAAAGAGCCTGAGTAAAAATCCGTTGATGTATCATATTTATAAAGTATGGTTAAAAAACCTTTTGGCATACATGGTGTCCTTTGAGGTTCAGCTGTTCAATGAGAAGAATATTTTTTTAGTGTGGTTCCAGTCCCCGTGGAAGCAGGAGTGATGAGTCCCGGCACAGCTACACGAGAGCTCGACTCCATCATGAATGAACTGCTAGGGCTAGGCCTGGAGGTGAGAGAAACATGAGGTGGACATCAGTTGGCCTGTTCATGCATCATCTAAGTTAAATCACTATTGCACATTATGAGTATCACCTGAAGAGGGCAGTATAAGCATATTAAGGCTCCTGATATATATACCCCCTTAAGTCAATTATTTAAAGAAAAGTCATTCAAATTGTCCAAAAATTCTTTATTTTGTAGGTTTCAGAACCAGTTCCCACATCAAACCCACCTCCAGTGGCTTGCAAGTCAATAAAAGACAAAAAACCTGAGGAAACTAAAGAAAGTGATAGTGGAAGCCAAAAAGAGACTAAGAAACCACAGCATCCTCCTCTGTCAGAGAAAGTATCCAAGAATGTGGATGCTATAGACGACCTGCTGGGCTCTCTCAGTACGGACATGGAGAAAATGGGGGTCCGCACTGCTGCCAAAGGCAATTGTGCTTCTTGTGACAAGTGTATAGCTGGGAAGGTACAAGCAAAATGCAGACAACAAATCTACAAATTACTATCAGTTTTCGGTATGAACAAATATGCCATCCTATATCCCAAACTGCAGATGATCACAGCTCTGGGTCAGGTGTGGCACCCAGAACACTTTGTGTGTACGGCATGCAGGGAAGAACTCGGCACTTGTGGTTTCTTTGAGAGAGATGGCAAGCCGTACTGTGAGAAAGACTACCAGAACCTCTTCTCCCCTCACTGCGCTTACTGCAAGGGTCCTATTACTCAGGTGACCTGCCATATGTCTCTATTTACTCTCTGAAAGCTCCTTGTTATAATTTCCTCGGGCACGTTAATTGAAAATTAGACAAGTTCAAAACAAAATTATAGTTTTTATTAAATATATATTATTTTATTTTTTCCACTGCTGTATATTACTCATTTTTGGGCCTTAACCCACCAGTTGAGAACTACTGCTCTAGACCCAACTACTAAACTAATTAGAGTAAATAGCAATACAACACAATAAAATTACTTAAAATAAAACTAGTAAATAAATAAATGTGGAATATAATTTTCAACTCTTTCACTTCACAAACAAATGAATTATTCTAGCCAATGAAGTAGGTGATAATTTATTGTGTTTTGCACAGAACATTCTAACAGCGATGGATCATACATGGCACCCAGAACATTTTTTCTGCGCCCACTGTGGAGATCTGTTTGGACCTGATGGTGAGACAACCGCAGATTCAGTCATTATTTGAGAAATCACGTTTTGTACTGAACGAATCTGTCTTTTCCAGGTTTTATGGAGAGAGATGGTAAACCATATTGCTCTAGGGATTTCTACCGCCTCTTTGCACCCAAATGCTCTGGCTGTGGAGAGCCAGTGAAGGAGAACTATCTGTCTGCAGCCAATGGAACCTGGCACCCTGACTGCTTTGTCTGTGCGGTGAGTGAATTAGTGGCGTTGAAGGCTGGAATGCAATACAGTCATGTGACTCACTCCTTATAAATAAGGAATATGGAGTCAGTCAGTCTGTACCATTGTGGTGAGCTTCAAAGGTGAATTCTTCACCTGCTCAATCGATCACTCCAGAACATTCTTTTTCATTAAATGTTTCTGCATCTCTCCAGGACTGTCTGAAGCCTTTTACAGATGGTTGCTTCCTTGAGTTGAATGGTCGGCCCCTCTGTTCCCTGCACTATCACTCTAGACAGGGCACTCTGTGTGGGACCTGTGGAGAGCCCATCTCGGGTCGCTGCATCGCTGCTCTGGACCGCAAGTTTCACCCTGAACACTTTGTGTGTGCGTTCTGCCTTCGGCAGCTGAGTCAAGGTGTGTTTAAGGAGCAGGGAGGGAAGCCGTACTGTTCGGTATGTCACGAGAAACTCTTTGTGTGAAAGAAGTGACGTGATTCCAGAAGTGTTTTCTTCAATAAAAACAATATTTAGTGAGGGACTTCAGCTTGCATCATGATTATTTTTTTAGATTTAATTTAAGATTATTTTAATATATTAGTAATTAAAAAAGAATAATAATAATTTTAAGTCACACTGTGGCCCTCTGGAAGTTTGCTGAGGCCCCCTAGTGGGCCCTGGCTCCCTGATTGAGAACCACTGTTTTAGAAAGAAATAGCAAGAAGGAAGGAGTGATACATACACCATTTTTCTATTTTGTTTGAGAAAAAAAAAACTTTTTAGAGAATGCAAATCAAATGCAGGAAAATGTAAACTATAGCAACATGTTTAATGTCATTATTTCATATCATTTTCATGATTCTAATACGTTCATACAATTTAAGTAAAGGATTCATTGTCTTTTACTTAAGTAGACTATGACATTAATTTAATTTTGCACTCATAGCATAACAAAACAAACATACATCTCCGCAGGCCTTTGAGGAGATTTCTGGGTCTTGTAAATGCTATTGATGTACTGTTATTTCTTTTAGGTTTCAATGATTAAGAAGACTCAAGATTCTAATTAACATAATACCATATGTGTTCATAGCCCATGCATTACAGTGACATCATGGGGACATTTTCTGTAAACATTCAAAAAGGGTTAGAATAACACCGACCGTCATTTTCTTGCTTGAATATACATGAACTCTACAAAAGCCGGTAGATTTTGTTGTGTGCATGTCAAGATCACATGAGTGAACATCCCTATAGTCATTGCTCAAGATCCCTTGTTTTGTCAGTTCATTGCACTGTTACTCAGGGTTCAGTCAGGCAGTAAGTTAAGGACGAGCCTTCTCATCTTCAAAGAATGCTCCTTGATGGTAAGACATGAAAGTTGCTTTCTGGGAGGATGGGTCAAAGATCAAGATGTTAATCACACCATAACAATCATGAAGCACAAGAACCACCCACAGTGAGTGGACAAACACTCATATAGTATGTGGTGAATTTAAGATTTTAATGCAGTGGCTTAATCTAGCGTTTGATTACCATAAATGGCACAAATTCAGTCACAATGCTTTCACTATGACAATACTGTTATGCCATAACTGACATCCAAGAAAACACTCCTTATATGTTTTAATGCTAGGGATCCCCAAATATGACAATCCCCTATGAGAACACCTTCCTCAAATATATATTGATTTTGTATTAAGTTAATTTAAATGTATAAAGTTTTAAGTTGTATTAATTAGAAGTTGTGTTAAGTTTGTATAAAGACTTTTAAAGCCAATTAAAAATGTTTAATTCACACTATAGCATATTATAGCATTTTTTTTTTTTAAATATCACAAAACAGATTTAGTTTTTTTTTTGCTTTTCTCTCAAATTTTCAGAGCTGAAGGTTTGAAAAAGCTCTGAAGTATCTTCCTCTCATAAATAGAAATTGGGAAAGAGCGAGAGAGAAGGGAAGAGAAACACAGAATGCAGTGGTTGAAGACATGTGTAAGCGTTGAGTTTATAAATCATGCTGTCATCACTAAATTAGAACCCTCTTTTCTGGTTTACACAGACTGGATTAAAATACGTTGCTGTCACAAAACAACAGAAGCTGCTCTCTTTCCTATTTTCTTGCTCCCTCTTCTCTGTTTACTGTCCCTTTGCTCAAATAACTGCTAATCTAGCTTTAATATATAGAACTTCCTGAATGGGGTTTCGGTTTAAAACCACACTGCATACAACCTGAATTTTTTCAGAGACAGGATAGAGATTAAATAGGTTGGAATTCAGTACGACATTATTATGAGCACATATTGAGCTCTGAGCACTTATTACTGCAGGTTTTTGAATCATATTAAATCAGACATGTCTAATTCAATGAAGCTGAGACTCACTACAACCAGTCACATAGTATTGGTTCCCATTTTTATAGACAAAAAATATAATGGAAGTCAATGAAAACCGAAATGTTTGATTATCAACATTTGGGAAGAAATTAAGTCATACAAGTTTGGAATGATATGAGGGTAAGTAAATTATGACACAACTAACACAACAATTATGACTTTTACTGCTGCAATCAATTCAGTCAAATTCACCAAAGAATCATTCAATGTGTTTTGATAATCCGGTTCATTGAAAATAATGCAGGTCTCGATTTCTTTGTGAGTAAAGACTGGAATACACTACACGACTTTTAAAACCAGCCATCATACACTTACCGATTCTGTAGCTACAATGAATGAATGAGGCATTTATATAGCGCTTTATTGTGTATTGCTGTACACCCAAAGCGCTTTACAACCATACACTAAACAAGTGAGGATCATACACTACCAGTCTTTAAAGTCGTTCAGATCACAGCAAACTCACACAGAAATGTGCGCCTTGTTGCTAGGAGATGCATGACAAATGAAAACAATGTGTTCTAAAATTGGCTCAAAATATCAAACATGTTTGATATCCTCCAAATGGATGGTTTCATAGTCTGAAGCTAAAAAAATCGGAGTCTGTGATCGTCATACACTAGCGATTTTCTATTAAATCTGTCAACTCAAATCTGCAGACTTTCTCTGACTTTCGGCAAATAGCGTCAACTTCTCCAGATTGTAAATCAGGGCCAAAATCTGGACAAACGTTGTGTAGTGTATTCTAGCCTTAAGCCATCAAATAATTTATTCAAACAATTCATTAAAAAATGCTGAAGTGAATGTTTTTATAAGTAAGTCATTGATTCATTCACTCAAACGTATTTGTTCAAAATATAATTAATTTAGGAACAAAACACCACTTGCTCTATTTTTACTGCTGCTTTGTTTGGAAATATTTGCATGGGCAGAGCCAAATTAGACAAAGTACCTGGCAATTTTGTATATAAAATGTAAATGACTCAATATTAACCTCTTGCTACTGTTTAAAAGCAATAATCATCCAGCTTGCTTCAATAATATGAGAGAATTATTGGGAGCAATAATGTTTAGTACTTCTAAGGCCATAGGGAATGAAACAGGAGTGCTCAACCTCATTAAAGTGGCAGAAATAAAAGGCCTGTCAATAAGTGTTGGTGTGGCAGGAGTCACGTGACATTTATAGCTGTATTGCTGAAGGAGGACGGTGGGTGAATTGGCCCGTGAATCCTATAGGGTGGGCAAATAGAGGGGAGTCGTTCTGAAACACTAGCCTTACCTGAACCAGACCTTGGCCTCTCTGTCACCCCACTAATTCACAAATCCCCGCCATGGGTCACAAAGCACCGTAAATACTGCCCAACTGGCAACCCTGAGACCGCACTCCCATAATAAACAATGAAGCCAATAAGTGTCCAGTATGTCACTGCCAGACAAGCCAGTGAGTGTGTAACCCCATGAACAAAACCGCATTCAGCGGTCTCAGGCTCCTTATATAAAGGACTGGAAAGATGAATGTGGTTCGCTGGATGCCAAAATGATTAACTGTATGTGATACTTAATAAAACCAATGAAGTCAAATGTAACTTAATCTATTTATGGAGCAAAGGTGAAATGTGGGAGTGTCAAAGCGGTGGTTTATTGATTTATTTGCCATCACCAACATGGAGACATCTCGTAACATTTATACTTATCCGATCCAGATGGCTGCCAGTGCAAAGTTAGATGTCAGAGAGACCACAGAAAAACTGAATTTAGAAATATGTAAGGCACTGACGTAATGCAAAAAAAAAACAAAAAAAAAAACCGCCAAACTTTTTTTTATCTTTAACTACACTTGAATTCATTAGACAAATAGCCAGAAATAAGTCTATGTCTTCTCTAGTGATAGTTGCTAGAAATATTTTTCTAAGTCTGACATAATAAATAAATAAATAAATAGATGATTACAGTTAGATAGATAGATAGATAGATAGATAGATAGATTACAGTTAGATAGATAGATAGATAGATAGATAGATAGATTACAGTTAGATAGATAGATAGATAGATAGATAGATAGATTACAGTTAGATAGATAGATAGATAGATAGATAGATAGATTACAGTTAGATAGATAGATAGATAGATAGATAGATAGATTACAGATAGATAGATAGATAGATAGATAGATAGATAGATAACAGTAAAATTGCAACTGATAGAAAATTGTCTGTTATGTTTGTTTATGCATATTTGTGTAAAAAGAGCTCTGACATTTTGTGTTATATGTGGAAAAAAGGTCAGAATTTTAAAACGTTGTAGACACAATAATTGAAATTAAACCAAATGCTGTTTTTAGTCTTTTTTAATACATATATATTAGAAACTATCTGTATAAAATGTAAGTATATAATAAATATAAAAATATAATAAATATAAAATAATAATAATAATATAACATAATTAAAATAACATGATAGCATAATATATAAATAAAATAATGAATAATGAAAAATTACATACATTTTCTTCACATTTCCTTCACCTACAGGAAAAATTTTGTGAGAATTATTGACCCCTGACAAAATCTGTGACCCGTAAAGTAATTCGGTTGAAGCTTTTCCATTTCCATGGCAAATCCTGAAGTACCGTCTCCAAAAATATAATGAATAATACTTAATATTTAATTATGTTTTTAGCTAAAAGGTTAAAGCTATAAGCTTTACAGTACACAAAGTTCAAGTCACTGGTCTGTGTAAGGAACTGCCCCCTAAAGAGTGGTTTTTAAACGAAGACAAGAAGTGACAACTTCAACACCCCCTAATTGCTTCCTGGTGACAAGGAGTCCATATATTAATTAGACAAGCTCATTCAAAGCTGGAGGAAAAGGGCTGCATTCCCCCTACCATTACCCGTATTTGGTTTGGCCCACAGCCAACCTAGTGCAGGTATCACATCAGATTAATGACTAGCTTCTCTGTACAGAGGACTTCCTGTAGTGCTTAGCTGAGGCTCCCTGTGCCAGGCAAGTTTTCCCCCCTCTTTATCATTAGATCTGTGGTTTCATGCTTTCTTTCCTTCTGCTTCTGAGTTGTGGCCTCTAATTCCTTCGCTCAAGTAAGGCCTCATGGTTTAAATCAGAATGCAACAAGCTGTTTTGTTGCATTCTCTTCTTTTGCTTCTGTAATTTCAGCTCATGAGCGACACCAGCCGGTAATGCTAAATAATAACTGT